ACACACACACACACACACACACACACACACACACACACACACACACACACACACACACACACACACACACACACACACACACACACACACACACACACACACACACACACACACACACACACACACACACACACACACACACACACACACACACACACACACACACACACACACACACACACACACACACACACACACACACACACACACACACACACACACACACACACACACACACACACACACACACACACACACACACACACACACACACACACACACACACACACACACACACACACACACACACACACACACACACACACACACACACACACACACACACACACACACACACACACACACACACACACACACACACACACACACACACACACACACACACACACACACACACACACACACACACACACACACACACACACACACACACACACACACACACACACACACACACACACACACACACACACACACACACACACACACACACACACACACACACACACACACACACACACACACACACACACACACACACACACACACACACACACACACACACACACACACACACACACACACACACACACACACACACACACACACACACACACACACACACACACACACACACACACACACACACACACACACACACACACACACACACACACACACACACACACACACACACACACACACACACACACACACACACACACACACACACACACACACACACACACACACACACACACACACACACACACACACACACACACACACACACACACACACACACACACACACACACACACACACACACACACACACACACACACACACACACACACACACACACACACACACACACACACACACACACACACACACACACACACACACACACACACACACACACACACACACACACACACACACACACACACACACACACACACACACACACACACACACACACACACACACACACACACACACACACACACACACACACACACACACACACACACACACACACACACACACACACACACACACACACACACACACACACACACACACACACACACACACACACACACACACACACACACACACACACACACACACACACACACACACACACACACACACACACACACACACACACACACACACACACACACACACACACACACACACACACACACACACACACACACACACACACACACACACACACACACACACACACACACACACACACACACACACACACACACACACACACACACACACACACACACACACACACACACACACACACACACACACACACACACACACACACACACACACACACACACACACACACACACACACACACACACACACACACACACACACACACACACACACACACACACACACACACACACACACACACACACACACACACACACACACACACACACACACACACACACACACACACACACACACACACACACACACACACACACACACACACACACACACACACACACACACACACACACACACACACACACACACACACACACACACACACACACACACACACACACACACACACACACACACACACACACACACACACACACACACACACACACACACACACACACACACACACACACACACACACACACACACACACACACACACACACACACACACACACACACACACACACACACACACACACACACACACACACACACACACACACACACACACACACACACACACACACACACACACACACACACACACACACACACACACACACACACACACACACACACACACACACACACACACACACACACACACACACACACACACACACACACACACACACACACACACACACACACACACACACACACACACACACACACACACACACACACACACACACACACACACACACACACACACACACACACACACACACACACACACACACACACACACACACACACACACACACACACACACACACACACACACACACACACACACACACACACACACACACACACACACACACACACACACACACACACACACACACACACACACACACACACACACACACACACACACACACACACACACACACACACACACACACACACACACACACACACACACACACACACACACACACACACACACACACACACACACACACACACACACACACACACACACACACACACACACACACACACACACACACACACACACACACACACACACACACACACACACACACACACACACACACACACACACACACACACACACACACACACACACACACACACACACACACACACACACACACACACACACACACACACACACACACACACACACACACACACACACACACACACACACACACACACACACACACACACACACACACACACACACACACACACACACACACACACACACACACACACACACACACACACACACACACACACACACACACACACACACACACACACACACACACACACAAAAACAACTGAAACTACGAACCATAAACGGTCATGTAACGTACACTAAATATCATGTTTTAATAGCTCATCCAAAGTTGATCTACGGCCTACTTCTTGGCTTTATTATTGGCACCTGAAATTTTTTAGTGCCCCCCTTCCCCCACCCCCACCCGGCGAAAAAATTCTGAAAGGAGCACTGGTTATTCCTGCTGGATATAGACCGTCAACCACCTACTTTATTCACAAGTGTAATCTCTGCTTGAGTTATCAGGCTCAATTCAGCCATCCCTCTTTTATACGGTTGGCCTATTATTAATTTGGGTTTTAAGATCAGTCTAGAAACATAGGTTAATGGTTTACATTAAGTGTGCCTCGTCGAATACGATTTTGCTTATCTTTGATATTTCGATACTAAGATAAAAGAAAATTTGCTGGTCCATTGCATGTCAGCTGAACTAGAAATTTTATTTCAAAAGCATCTTGTAAGTTGACCTGCCCACTTACCCCCAAGTAGCTACGACCACTAACGAACAACCAGCTACCCATACAAGAAGTAGAAAAAAATATTATGATTTAAGTTTCACTTTTATTGGTTTAGTTTAAAAAATTGAAATAACTTGAATATGAATTTTAAATTAAAATTAATTAGAGCGTAGGTTTTGAAAATTTACTTCTTTATTTATTTTAAAACTTTTTGATCGGTTTCAGGAGCCAAGTGTAAGAAACACGGGTAACATGAACTCTCTGATTAGTAAGTTTAACTATTGTCCAAGGTTAAGTGTTTGAAATGTTACAGGTAAATGAATCTAATCGTCCATTTCTTTGTAATTTTAATTCAGTCAATTACATTGTTTCAGTTTGACTTCTTACTCCAGAAATGCCAGGTTTAAACACTTAAATGAGGTTCGATATCGGGGAATAGTATCGGGGAATAGTAACCTGCCAAGGAGAGACAACTCCAAAATTAAACAACTGTTGTTTTATTTGTTCTTGGTTAAACAAATGCCATGGCAGCTAATCCAAAAAGAAAAGCAGACAGAAGTGTAAGTCAACGTGACGTATGGCGCATAAAATGTTAACACTAAATACATATTTGTGTGGGAGGGAATTTTTGTTATAACAGATTTGAAGTTGTTGATTGGGAGTAGAACGTCATAGATAGGCGTATATATTTATTTTTACTTAACAGATTGAGTAAATATGATCTGTAGGATAGACTCCCTTTACCTGAATACCATTTCTCAAAAACGGTTTTCGCGTGATATAAATATATTTTAGAAAATTAAAATAACAAATGGAAATATTTTAAAATAAAACAAAACGTCTAACAAATTTATTAACATTTAAAACATTCCTTTAATCATTAAATCTAGATTTTATTAAGCATTTATTTTTTATTACAGCTGGATTAGATATTTAAAAAAAAAACGCTATTTAACTCCAAAATCAAGTCTTCATAACACCAACGTTTTCATATTATAATGCATTTAAACTAGAACCAATTGGGACTAATTATTTCGAAATTGTTCTCTGGTTAAAAAATGCATAAAACTTGTCGTTGTTTTCGGGCAAGTGTGGATCGAAATTTATAATAAATTTAGTTTTCCCTCTTAATAATATTTTGTTTGTTTTGTTATTAGCTGACAAGAAGTATTTACCACCTCAACAAGAGTAAATGAGCGCGGTTAAAAGCTTATAAACATGTATTGCAATCGGGAACTGTAATGTTTTTTTTTCAAATAAAAATGAGACGTGTTATAATTTCCAAACAATTATAAAATAATATAATAAACACCACACAGACTTCGTTGATGTCCTATTCGTGTATCAAATACTTTAAAAGTCAATGTCGACAAATAATGTGACGATATTTGTAAAGAACAGCATCATTTATACTTTAACGTTTGTGAAACTGAAGAACTAGTCGGTCTCTTTCTAAAATGTAAGGTGGGGTATTTTATAAAGATCGATGTACAGATCAAATCATTGAGACTTATATCAAACGATGGAATGACTACACTGCTGCTACTTGTGGCAAAGCACATTAAACACACGTCTAATGCAAACTTAGATAGTTTTAAATTTGAGTAAATAACACTTATATAAATTACAATTTTCAATTTTCAATTTTAGAAAATGGAAGAAATATGTTTAAGAAAATTGTTATGTGTTTTGCTGACTTTTAACTGTAAAATACAATTTTGAATTTTATTTTAGTTTCTCTAAAAATAAAAAAGAAGCATTTGCTTAGTTAATCGTATAAAATTTAATTGTTTTCTGAATGATTCTAAAAATTAAGCATATGATTATACAATTTTGTATGAGACAAATATAACTAAATTGAAAAAAAACAATATTTATTCTAAACTAATTATAGTGAATGATATATTATGTACATCGAAAGATGTTAAAATATAACCTAGATTTATTTTAACATTTCTGTTTGCTTGAATGATATGAAATCATTTTATCAAGTTTCAAAATATTTTAAGTAAAATTATGTTGGGGAAATTCGATTTTGTATAGTATTGATCTTTGAAAGTTTTACAGAAAGATCAAACAAATGTTGTAGCTATTTCACAAACACATATAAAATGAACAATTTAACCAGCAAAAAGTACAAGTTGAAAAGACCATAATATATGAAAATTCATCTACTATAAATATAAGCCCACTATTATTAAAATGAAAGAAAAGTTTTCTTGGAATTGAAGAACATCAGAAATTTAATATGGCGAATGCCCTGATTTTCGTAGTTTACCACCTATTCCTGAAAATAAATAACAATAAATGACACATAACAATATGAAGAACTAATGCATTGGATTTATTCTTAAATCTATTATAATTCTTGAGAGACATTGCATGGTTCGGTTAATCGGCACAAAAATGTATTATACTAAATTTGTCTGTATTAAAATGTATACAGTAATTGACTTTTATTAATGTTACTGAATGCATGGTAAGCTATTTCCCTTTCGTTTAGTAAATAACTGTTTATCTCGCTTTGTTTTTAGTTTTAAAAGGATTTAACTTATTTTTTGTTTAAGTTAGAATGTTTTACTATATTTAGCACACTATTGGCACCACCTTTATTTTTTTATATAAGCCGCATTAGAATTAAAATTTAAAAAATACGAACATTACAATTTTATAATTAATTCGTTAAATAATCTGAGAACTACAAAAATATTGTTTGACTTCGTTTTGAATATAAGTATAATGTATCAGGAAAATTAGACAACCCTTGATGTTAAGTGTTACTATTATCTTGGGGCTAGAAATATTTTAATGAAGTTTTAGCTATTAGAATCACTTATTAATAAATGCACAAATGAAGTAACTTTAATAATAAATAAACCGGGAGTGATCTCCCCTAAACTTTCTCGAATATTCTTAAAAAAGACTACAGAAGATTGCAACTCGGGATATAGACATGATTTTAAATGAATTTTTAATTACTTAAACTTTTTAAAATTGAATAGAATCTCGTAGAAAGAGAATCGCGCATCAAGTGAAATTTTGTTTATCTATCAGAAATAGTAGTCAAGCTATAGGCTTTTAAAAATGAAAGGAGAATAAGTTCCATTTCTGGTTATCGGAAACAACTGAAAAGTTGATAAAGCACTACACATATGATATAATACTTATATATCAGTTTTCATCAAAGTAGCTTTATTGGTACTCAAGTTATCGTGTTTACACACAGACAGACAAACACACAGACCGATACACAGACATACGGACAAGATTGCAAAATTATGTTTTTCCGACTCAGGGAGGTGTAAAACGTCGAGATCTATGAAAATCTCGATTTTTTTTTTTGCACTATTACAATACTTTCGCTGAGGATTTTGTATCTGAAAGACGAACCATCACTAAGAAATATATTATAACAACCATTTAATAATACTGATTACATTTTAATCGCATATAAAATGTTGATCTTATAAACCTTATAAAACTTATTAAAATATATTTTTTTATCTTAATTTTGTCTTAACATAATAAACCTACTAGGCAGCGAAAATACTTTTCATAATGCTAATGTCCCACACAACCTTCTATAAAATGTTATAATGTTTCACAAAGTTTTTACCTTTTATTGAAGAAGGCGAAGTAGTCTGAGTCTTGAAACATCTTTCTACTGTGATGATGGCTTGTCTGCTTTGTAAATAAAACACATTTATAATTGACGCTGAGTATTGAGTTAAAAATATATGATCTTATACTGAAAGAAAACTTTTATTATAGTAATTACGAAATTACCTTCCGTCCTTTTTTGTTCAGCTGCCACAGGAAAGGATTCCTAATTTTATTTTGTAAATAAAGTAATGTAGAACATGCTTTTATATTTTAAAAATTGTATATGCTGTCATAATATATGTTTCATAATTACCAAAAAATTATATATTTGACAATATTAAAATATAATGTATAAATATGAACTTTGCTTTGTTATTTATTTCCAATTTGTCACGGTAATAGCTTTTAATTTGACATGTTTGGACGTTACACATTATTTTTAGAAGAATATTACATAATACAGTAACAAAATTGCGTATGTAATTGTAAATTAATTCTAAAATCAAAATTAAATATTACCCATTATGCCCATTCATAACGAATTAAACTTACCAATCGGAAAATCTAAATCTTGCATCGTCATCACATTCATCATAACTGCAGTCACATTCTAAATTTGCAAAAATCGTATTATAATTATAGATTTTTAAAATTTGACTTTCAAACACAATAATATGCAATTCTTCTTTACTTTCACTGAATCCTCGTCATATACATTACAGTATATATTTATTATCCAGCTAATTTTAATTTATTTTACTCACTCAAGTGATGCAGCACTGTATTAAACTTGAGAAATCTGGGTTATTGATCTTGAGATATATCCTATTACCACAAATTTGTTTTAAGAATTCAAAGCTTTTAAAAGAATATATCTAAAAAATATGTACCGTTACTTTCGTGATGGTGCCTTCTTCGTGGGGTTGTTGTAGTCGTGGTCTGGGTGGTAGTTGTTCTTACGGTTGTTGTAGTTGTGGTTGTGGTTGTAGTTGGTGTAGTGGTGGTAACCGTAGTTGTGGGTGTGGTGGGAGCCACTGTTGGTGGAGCTGGTGTTGAGAAATAACCCATTATTAAATTAATTTTGCCTTTCTTATATGATTATAATTATAAAACTTCGTTTTAGTTGTTAACAGATTTCTCTAAAGTAAATTAAGCAACATCTTTTATTTCAGCTCGAAGTAACACTGGTGAATATCAGAAATAAACAATGTTTATAACACAAAAAGAAATACATAAATACGTAAAGAAAATAAGGCTGTAAATATATATAAAAAAATGATAGCGTTAAGTATATTGCTTGGGTCTGACCATCATAGATTTGTAAACAAGTAAGTGCTAAATTTAGATTTATATTTCAACCTGCCAAGAGAAATAATTAAAAAATTTTGACGCACACACACTTTTGAAAGACTTACGTGCATCACATAGGATGAAAGATGTGTTGACGTTGCGTAATGTATTGTTAAGTACTTTAACTTCAAATGTACAAATGTCGTTTTTATAGCTATACCCGACACAGGATGAGGGAAATTGTGCCTTACAGGCGTTTTCACAATCCTGTCAATTTGATTAAAAAAACATTTGAAACTTGCTTGAATAAAATAAACATAAACTTAAAAAACTTTTTTTTCTTAGGAATATTTTTTTCCAAATGTTACCAAAAATTTTATATTAAATTCATAAGCTTTTAAATTATTTACACAATTAAGAAAAAGGTAAGTTTTTCCCTGTTATACGGTAAACAAATTAGAATATAATCATATATATATATATATATATATATATATATATATATATATATATATATATATATATATATATATATATATATATATATATATATATATATATATATAATTCCATTTTTCCAGTGCCAAGTACAAGGCAAAATTGTCAGTATATAGTTCTAAGCTACTTAATTATCAATAAATAGCAATACATAAACTGTTTGATTTAATGTAACATAGTAATAATTCAAACGGGAAAATAAAGACGAAAAAAATAAATTGTTCGTTTGAGTGTTCTTATGGATTACTCGAGAAAATCTTTAGAAAAAAAACTAATTACATTTTATAATTAGTTTAAAGTTTTATATAAATTGTGCATATCAACGGCTTCTACGTAATACCTGTTGAATAGTTAATTGTATAATTACAGTTACATTTTTTTATGTCATGAAATATTGAATGTATTTATTGAAACTGAAGATTTTACAACTTATTTCGAAGATTAAAAACAAATATCAAGCTATTATTTTGAATCGCACTTACTGCGTTAACTATTGGAGTTTTTCCTTGATCATCTGAGATTAATAAAATTGGGATTAATTTAAATATTCTAGTTAATGCTGGAGCATGCTGTTGATTTAAATATCTTGTATTAATCTTAACACATTTAAAGCCATGTTGTTTGATAAAGATATTAACATTTTTTTAATTTACAGACATAATCCACATTTATATATTTCTTAATTTTTTAAACATTTTGACATAATATAGATTCAAAGTATTTAATATTTTCTTAAAATAGTGTATCAAAGATAACGATTTATATCATTCTTTAAAAATAAAAAGAACAGACAATATCTTGAGTTTAATTATCTTATATACAGTTTTACCTACCAGGTATTTTTCTGCAGACAAATGGGTAGGAAGAACTACATGGCTTATCGTCCCATCGATTGTTGTGAGTCGCATAGTTTCTCATTACAGCGCAATCCCTACCGCCGTTACCATAATTTGGTTCTCCTGTCAACATAAACAAAGCGTTGGATTTCCGTATAGTATCTTATTAATACAATAAAATAATTACTTTTTCACATCTTGAGTTATTTTATACCATAAAAAAAGAATTAAGTTTCTACATCTTATGTTATTTTATACAATAAAAAAATAAATCAATTTCCATATCTTATGATTTTATACAGTAAAAAAATAATTTTATTTTCCCATCTTATGTTATTTTATAAAATAAAATAAAGAATTAAAACTACACATCTTTTGTTATTTTATACAATAAAAAGTAATTTAATTTCAATATCGTATGTAATTTTTTACAATTAAAAAGCATTGAATTTCATTATGTTATTTTATACAAAATAAACCGGGAGTGATCTCCCCTAAACTTTCTCGAATATTCTTATATAAAACAACAGGGGATGGGAACTCGGGCTATAGACATGATTTTTAATCAATTTTAAATACTTAAAGTCAGTGGCGTAGCGAGGTCGGGTGTCACCCGGTGCGGCACTTAATGGTGTCACCCCCCAAAGGCGTAGTGACCCTTCCCGGGGACAAACTTACAAGTTTTCAATTTGCACCCCCCCCCCCCCCTCAAACTTTCGATTTGCACCCCCCCCCTCAAGTTTTTCTCTATATATTTTGCTATTTTTTGCCTTGGTGTCACCCCCTTAAATGGTGTCACCCGGTGCGGTCCGCATCCCCCGCCCCCCCTCGCTACGCCCCTGCTTAAAGTTTTAAAAATAGAATAAAATCTCTTAGACAAAAGAAGTGCACACCAAGTGAACGCCAAATAAAAAGTCCATAATAGTACGCAATATTATTAGTACTTTAAAAATTTACATTAGTTTTTTGAGAAATCGGAAGTAGCGTAAATTACTACTTTCGGTCAACGGGAATTACTCAAAATTTAACAGAAGGTAGAGAATTAGATCTTTGACTTACATGTGAAATTTCATTTATCTATCTGAAATAGTACTCAAGTTATAGGCTTTTGAAAAATTCAAAGTAGAAAAAATACCACTTCCGGTTAACGGAAATCGCTCAAAAGTTGATACGGATCTACGATTTTGATAAAATACTTATATATAAAATTTCATCAACCTAGCTGTAACGGTACTCAAGTAATCGTGTTTACACACACACAGACAGACACACAGAAAACGGACAGAATTGCAAAGCCCAGTTTTTCAGACTGGATTACGCATAAAACCTCTTAATTTTGATAAATCTGGATTGATAATTTTTGCCCGATTAAAATAAGTCCTCTATACTCCGGATGTGATGAAGGACTGAGGAGTAAAACGGTGAAAACTGTCAAAATGTCATGTTATTTTTGTGCACGATTACAATACTTTCTCTATACTTCGTATATACGAGAAAGTAAAAAGACAAGATTTTAATTTTTTAATGTTTTTTAATAAAACACTATAACATATATAAGTTGACGTTAATTATGTTTTAGATATATTTTTTGTGATAACGAATACCTTGTACACGTATATTTTCTCCCTCTCTAGCCTTCTCACACTCTATTTAGCACACGCTAACACAACCCCAAATAGACATGCTCAATCTAATATTATTGTTGATAACTTTTTTAATAACGTATATTGAAAAATCACTTACAAACCCCTTATATAATTATATCGCAGCGTTAACTAATGTAACAGTGAAGTGCCTACAAGGGTCAAAGTCGATGTAGCTAAGACACGAGCCGTCTTCCCACATCCAGATACCCTCACCCTCTTTATCAAGCAACCCGATCCAAACGTCGTTAGTTTGTTGTTTTATCAATCCTTGAATTTAAAAAAAATGTTGTAAAAAAAATATAAACAGCAAAATATATAAAAGCCTACATTACATTGCCATTTTCATATATTATTTTGCTATTTAACTTTCAGGATAATTATCAAGTATAGGGCTGGTAAGTAGGTCACCAACCAGTTCTATGGCTCTTGCAGGTTTTATTGAGCCGTAGAACTGGTTGGTGACCAACTTACCAGCCCTATTGCACAATATTTAATTAAAAGTTTTGAAAAATAAAACATAACAGATTGGTTTTTAAAAAAAAATCTAATCCAGTTTGTAATTTAGACCTACTAAGCGCTAATTTAATAATCAAACTATTCTTGTTCTTATAAAAATAAAACAATTTGTTTTATATAAAAATATGCTTGATATACAAATTAAGTTAAATATTGTTTTCACATTTTATAAGAGTGTCAACACCTGAAACATAGTCCTGCTCGGCCTGGTCAACAATAGTGGTCAGAGCCCCACCAAGATTTACACACGTGCTGTTGGCGTCGCTCCACTTTTTAGATGTTTGGTCGAACCTGTAGCAGCTTCGTGTGTTGGGTCTTAGTTGCCATCCTGCACCGCAGTCTGGAATGTTTGGGAAATTGAGCTGTACCTTCATACAAGACAGCAATATACGTGTATAGGCTGACATAGATCAATAGTATTCCACATACAAAAAGGGCTGGTTACGAAAGAGCGAGACCTACTACAGACACACAAGCACTCAAAGTCCGAAGTCGTTCAAAGCACGTATTGGCCGGCAAATGTGCGCACTGGCCGGGACGTACTGGCCAAAGTCCGAAGATTTTAAACTTGAGAGCGTATTTCGTACATTGGCCGGCAATGCGCACACTGGCACACTGGCCGGGATGTCCTGGCCAATGTCCTATCTATACTACGGTGTGATCGAATTTCATTATTCAGGGTGCGGTTTCATTGCGAGTAACGTATTGTTTGTATAGTATTCTATATTCGATGCGACACAAACCGAAAAGACCGTCAGACCAAGAGACAGACATACCAGATGGCTGCCAAAGAAAAAAATCCAATCCCTTGTTAGTTTCCAAACATGGGCTACTACTGTATGTGATAGCCTTATCCATGATGGGTGATGGGAAGGTAAGACAATCTTCAAAGAACAAAAGTCAAAGACAGTCGGCGTCACCGGCCACGTGCAACAAGACGGAACATTCAAAAGACTATGCCGCATTCGATGTTATATATATATATATATATATATATATATATATATATATATATATATATATATATATATATATATATATATAAACGAGCTACCTAAGGAAATGTTTGATCCTACCTTTCATTTTATTTTCTAAATTGGTACATCAAAATTACAGCAAATCGTATTTAAATTGATACGTTAGCACACTGTTAGAGAGAGAGTCTGCGAGAGAATGCAAGAGAAAGAATAATGCGTTGTCGTTTTACCCCCCTGAGTCTTAGGGGGGGGGGGGGGTAAAGAAATGCTTGTCAGTCAAATAAAGCTAGGATACTCTGCATGTTGATATTTTCGTGGAGGGGGGATGGGCACTGGTAAAAGTAAAAGTTTTCTATATAAGTACCATTTCGAAGAGATGCCTGGAATAAACTCTGCTCTCAATTTCGATGTAAGAATATTCAATTGTTTTACACTTTACAATGAAATTAGGTTCATCATTGTTTTATAACTGTCACTTACATGTATCGCACCGAATGAAATAAGTTGGAACGCTGTTGCTTATTTGTTCAAAAGCTTTGACTTTATAGGTGCAGATGTTGTTGTCGAAGGTGTAGCCCACGCAGGTTGTAGGTCGTTGAGCCTTACACTCATTGTCACAATCCTGTCAAAAAATAGACACAACACTTTAGCTTATCAAGCAATCTTTTTGATTCGTGGTTTTCAATTTCAATGGAAACTTCAATTTCACACTTTATTAAATTATAGGCGCTTTATAAATCTCTTATTTAAAATATAACCGGATATGTTACTATTCATTTTATAAAATAATCGGCTATCGGCTAGGCTTTGCTCCAGCTATGTACAACCATATTCAAATGTAAACGCACACATGATATGTGTGTGCAAACTGTATCAATATAATACCTGTATAATACAACAAATGATTTGACCCGAGTAAGGATCATTAAGGTAGGATCATTTCGAAATCCTGTTTAGCAGAAGCTATACAACATTTGTTTTCAAATTCAGGTTTTTAATTTAGGTGCTGAATATGGAATACATTGATTTTATTATATATTATTCTATTTACAAAGTAGATATATAGTATAAGGAATATTTTAAATAATAAAATAAAAAACACTGAAGATTAAAATATAAGTTGAGCTTACCGTATTAACAGTGGCGGTTGGTACTACTCCATCTGAATGTGATTAGTTTAAATATTTGTGTCATGTTAAATAACGAATAATATATGTATAAAGATATGTTTAAAAACCTACATACAATTGAAAATTAATGGTTGTTAACTAACAGAACAAATATAATATATTACATTCATAATTATCTGCACGAGTATGTCGTTTCGTTTTTGAAACGTATAGTACACGTAGGGAATAAAGGAACATAATCTTTCAAAACTTTTGGAACTTATGAACGGAAATTACGTACCTTTTGTTTTTCTACATACATATGGGTTCAAGGCATCGCAGGGTTTGTCGTCCCAACGGTTGTTGAAATTTGTAAACTCTCTCATGACAGCACAGTCTTTTTCACCGTTCCCATAATTAGGCTCACCTGGAAATACATTGACTTATGCTAATTAACTCCACGTACACCAGAGCAAGCTTTTTTTTAAAATTCTGTTTTTTAAAATGGTTTTAATTCAATCAATATCCAACCGTTCAGTGTGTGTGATGGTGGGGGGAGGGAAGGGGGAGATGATATTTGCGATTGCTGTATTAACATCTTGTACAAATTCAACTAACTCTGTCTCAAATTTTCTAACGCTCTAAAAAGCACTTTCACCTACTTTACACAGTAGCATAATACACATAGCACATACATATACACATATAATCACAATTATAAACTTGTATATATTTATATGTATATATATATATATTCACACGCACACACACCAGATAAATATATATATATATAAATATATATATATATATATATATATATATATATATATATATATATATATATATATATATATATATATATATATATATATATATGTACATATATATATATATGTATATATATATATATATATATATATATATATATATATATATATATATATATGTATATATATATATATATATATATATATATATATATATATATATATATATATATCGAGAGAAAGTAAAGATGACATCATCTATGTAAACTAACGTATGGACGATGAAATCCACTATTTTTTAGTCGTATGTTAAATTCAACAATGGTTTTTTTTTTTGTAACATGTTAATTCAAATAAAAATAAAAATCGCTACTTTTTCTAATTAAAAACATTTTGATAAAGTGTTGTTAGAATAAATGCTGAGATATCTCACCTGGGCTGAAGTTGAGGTAGCTGATACACAAACCATCATGCCATTGCCAGACGCCATGGGAATCTTTGTCGAGTAGACCAATCCAAACATCGTTAGATTGGGATCTTATCATTCCTTCAAGTTGACAATTTACATGCGTTTTAAAAGCGATCAAAATTGATATAGATTACACTAACACCCCTTTTCGTATGCCATTTAATATATATTAGTTAATTTATTAAATGAATTTTGAAAATAGCTTATAAAGACGTATTTGATTTTCCAGTTTAATAATCTTCTACCTATGAATATCTGCATATGGTCACATTATGATGAAAACCTTGAGGACACGTTTTTTTTTTAAAATCACTTCCATGGTTACACGGTCAGAAGTAATTCGTGTTTGATGTATTAGAAAGTTTTAGTAATCTTAACATACATAGTCCGCATATAAAGTTAATTACGTTGTTTTTTTAAATAACGTTGGCGATTTTTGGTTCTATATAAATAGGCCTATAAAATAAACTATTCGTGTTTTAAACACCATTATGAATTACTACTTTTATTTTTAAATTAGCACACTAACATTTTAAAAAAATCTAATGCAGTTGTGTAGAATGTTTTAAATTGTATTACAACTTCAAACCCTCTTTACTTTCTCGCGTAAAAAGTATAGGGTAGTATTGTAATAGTGTAAACAAAAATAAACCAAGATTTTCACAAATCTAACGTAATACATCATATTAATCTTAGTTCTGAAATTGTGTCTGTACGTCTGTGTGTCTGTCTCTGTCTTTGTGCCTGTCTGTAAACACGATTTATTAAGTACCATTTCAATTAAGTTGACGACATTTCACGTATAGGTATTATATCTAATTTGTAATTCTGTATTGAATTTTGAATGATTTCCGGTGACCGGAAGTGTTACTTACTCTACTTACGGTTTCTGAATAGAGAATTGCTTGAAACCCGTTTATGTTTTTATTTACTATAATACATGATGTATATAAAAATGCACAATCTTTATTTATTTTAATTTAAAAAAAAACTTATCTCTCGTGCTAAGTGATTTTACTTTCGTGCTTAAAGCTTCTCCCATTATGGGTCCATAATCAATTCGCGCCCCCTTCCTCCCATTTTATTTCTATTTATTCCTGTCTGTGAAAAAGCTCCCCCCCCTCAGTTGGAAAGTTTTTGTTGCGTTCAAACCAGTAGGTACGTTTAATTTTCAATCTAGTTTTGTTTTAAGTAAACCCACTAAAGTTTTTAAAAATTTGACAAATGTATTTTATTTTATGTATTTATTTTATTTTTATTCTACAGCCAACGACCTACCCAAGCATCCAACTGATCCACACACTAGAATAAGATGCAAACCGCCCAGCCTACCACCCACCCAGCCATGACCCGCTTTACATGCGAGATCTGTGACCGAGTATTCAGCCGTAATCAACTTTTCATACGCCATCAAGAGACAGCACACGGACGACAAAGACATCCCTGTACAACTTGCGGGAAAGTATTTACACGACTTGACAATTTGACAACCCACTATAAGAAAGCACACACCAACCAAACCTTACCGAGCGACACCCCATCAGCAACCGACAGACAAACTCCACAACCATTATACGTGACCAACAGACAAAAACACCAACCCACATTAGTGACCGACACACATACTGTCCAACTCCCAACAGCGACCCAAACAACTCGTACTACTACCAACACTAACTCCTTAAAACGACATACGACGTATGACGACATAGCAAACAACAAACGCGTAAAGACTAACAACGACAGTAACCTTAATTCACACACCACTATTTTTCCTGTAGACAACCTTAGGGGAGATGCGGTTGTGACCTACTTAGGTCTAGTAATGTTTTATTTTTAGTTTGAGATTTGTTATAATACCATATATGGTCTGTGGTGCAATTACCGTTTTTTTTTCCACTGTCTTACTAAGAGAGTCTTAGACTGAGAAATTTTCCATCGAGAGATGATTGATTGTTTCAGACCAGATGACCACCCCAACCAATGGTCTTATGATTTGAAGGTGACCTTCCATGTTACCTAAGTCTATAAATAGATCGCCCACAGGTGTCTCGCGGCAGTCTTTGGTCAGACGTCGTTGAAGAGAGATAAGCCCTGTGTGTTGCCGTGCAGTATTAAGTTGTTATATTACTTGTGATTAAGTAATTCTTTATGCTAATACCAGTGTTATGTATACAGTGGTGATTTTTCTGAAGTGTTAAAAGCTGTGATAGTGTATCATACTATTTATTTCCCAGGAATTGTAAGTTGGGTTTTGTTCATTCTGTAAATCCATTTTATTCTTGTTTAAATCTAGTGTTCTGCCACGACTTTGTACTCCTATTACAAGTTATATGCAGATTAAATGTATTGTTGTCATCAGTAGTTTCTCTAGTGTTTCCCCTAGACATTAATTACGAGCCCTAGCGAACTAGTGAGTCAACTTTCTTTTATTTAGGCTTATCGCCATCTGTGTGTAATTAGTTAAACGAATCCGGGAGCGTTCGCCATCTATCTGGCTGATAGATTGGTGTCCGTTACACGGTAGACTTACACATGACTACAGACAAACCTTCGCCCATATGCCTTCTCACAGACATTCCTGACTTTATTAAACATAATCATGCCATTAACATGTTACAAAAGGATTCGAATTCCAAACCCTACACAGACAACTTCTCCTTTTTTAGATGTTTAGCCAGACATTTAGGAGCACCCACAAGAGATCTTAGAATTCCAACCTTAAATCTCGCGAAACAGTGGCAAGCGCACCAAGGTCTTGTGACCTTGGATAATTTTAGTGGGGTTAGTTTGGTCGAAATTCCCCTCTTAGAGTCCTGTTTTATTGTAAATATTGAGATTTTTGAATTTAATGAAAACCAGATCCTTTCTCCGAAACTTAGAAGTAGTGATAGGTTTAGGGAGACTGTGTATCTTTTATTTTTTCAAAATCAGTTTATGTACATTAATAATATAGGTGGGACGGGTCACTCTTTCGCGTGTTCTATGTGTAACAAATTATGGCCCACCGTTCAACAATTGAACAGACACGTGAAAGGGTGTAATGGGGACAAACCCGTAGATAGGTATAAGGGAGGGGTTTATCAGACACAGCAAACAATCTGGGAGTTTTTAGCGTCCTATGGGGTAGATGTAGATAGTAACTTTGTTTATCCCTTCCGAGCAGTGGCGTAGCGAGGTCGGGTGTCACCCGGTGCGGCACTTAATGGTGTCACCCCCCCAGAGGCATAGAGACCCTTCCCAGGGACAAACTTTCAAATTTTCGATTTGCACCCCCCCCCTTAAACTTTCGATTTGCACCCCCCCCTCGAGTTTTTCTCTATATATTTTGCTATTTTTTGCCTTGGTGTCACCCCCCTAAATGGTGTCACCCGGTGCGGTCCGCACCCCCCGCCCCCCCCCTCGCTACGCCCCTGCTTCCGAGCAACATACGATTTCGAATGCTATTTCGACCATACCGAGTTACCCACGTTAGGTAGAGTTACAAAAAGCGTAACCAAACACGTGCCTTTGTCTTGCTCTGTGGCCTCAAACGTTTTATTTCGACTGGTGACCCTCAAGAATTAGTGACTAGAGTTATTGACAGACTCCACATAATCGCCGAGGCAGCTTATGGAATTTTGAGAAAACAGTTCGATCCTATTTTTAAGCAAATCAGGAAGCTATTTCCACCTAAAGCTAGGGGTAGCGATAATAAGTCGAACGACAAAGGGTTTGATAGGTTTCTTAGCGGTAGATTAGACGACTATTTGCGACAAATGCCGGTTATAGGGTTTAATTCAGGAAAATATGATATAAATCTCGTTAAACCGTATTTTATTCAGTACTTTTTAGCTTTTTCAAACGATGATGAAGACGACGTAGAAGATAAACAAACACCGTTTAAATATGTAGTTAAAAGAAATAATAATTTCATGTGTATATCAACAAATAAATTAAAGTTCTTAGATATAGTTAAATTATCTTGCACCTGGGTTTAGCTATAGTAAATACCTCGCCGCGTATAATGTTAAAGAGACAAAAGGCTTTTTCCCGTACGAATATGTAAAAAAATTAGCCGTCTTAGATGAAACGTGTTTACCTCCGCATCCGCCCTTTTTTTCATCATTAAAAAATTGTAACATTTCAGACAAGGAGTACGCGACGTGTAGGCAAATTTGGGTAGAGAAGGGGATGCAAACTTTTAAAGATTATCTTATATTGTATAACAATATCGATGTAAAACCGTTTATCGAGGCGCTCGATCAGCAAACTAATTTTTACAAAAATTTAGGGGTTGATATTTTCAAAGACGCGATTTCTGTCCCCGGATTAACCTTAAAATACTTATTTAAAACACTGCCCAAAGACGTTTCTTTTTCTTTGTGTTCCGAGCGCGAATCAGAGTTACATAAAACAATCCGAAATAATATCGTAGGGGGCCCCTCCATTATTTTTCTTAGACATCACGAAAAGGGTGAAACGATCATTAGGGGGAATAGTAATAAGGTGGTACAGGCAATTAAGGGGTACGACGCGAACGCGCTTTATTTATGGTCTTTAATGCAAAAAAATGCCGACGGGATTTCCGATTATTAGAAATAGTGAGGATGGGTTTAGACCGCGTAAAGCGAATCATTATGGGGAATAGGCCTTTCAGTGGTTATCGTGGGTTTCAAAAACAAAGGGGTAACTTTAAAAACCGCGTTTAACGGGGGCGAAGTTAGCTTAGGATCCCGCCATATAAGAGTAGACGGGTGGGACGCGAACGCTCGAACCGTTTATCAGTTCCATGGCTGCCTCTTTCATGGACACCCTGACTGCCCCTTAACTAAAGACAGAACAGTAAATCCCATTAGTAACAAACCCTTGACTGAGTTATTTAAAAAGACAAACGAAATTACAAAGTACCTTACTGATACTGTTGACGTTAAAGTCGTAGAAATGTGGGAATGTGAGTGGGGGAACCATAAAAAGACGAACCCGACTATTAAAGAGTATTTAAAATCTATTGACAAATCACAAAAGACACCGACACCGACCTATGGTAAAAAATGGCCCCTGACTGAAAAACAGATCATCGATTCTGTTTTAGAC